GTCTCTGCCTTTCAAAGTGCTGGAATTGCAGGCGTGAGCCTGTAAAACAAACTTCTGTTTGGCTTAGGTAACTTAATTAACCTTGCTTTTATGTCTTCACAACAAAAGGATAATCTACTCATGTCTGACTTTTATCTTTTTCCGTGGTCACACAGTTCTGTCAGTCAAACGTTGTGGAAATATTTTGAAACTCTGAAGTTATTTCTCATAAACTGGTACCACCAGGGCTACGAATAAGCAAACAAAATAAAATAAATGGTTCATTGTGATTATTAGTAAATAAAGATATTTAGACAAATCAGGCAGAAAGAAGCTACTGTAGCCTTAAGAAGCCTTGGCATCAAGTTTATGGTGTTTTTAAATGATCTGATCTCCATTTATAAAGAATTATCCTTTAAATCATACATTTCCATTAAGACTATGATCCTCAACCTTTCTTTGGTGATAAACATTCTCTAATGTGTAAACTGCTAGTATAATGGTAATGTCTTCTGTCAAGAATCTTACAGAGGTAAACTACATATCATAAAATATTACATAATAGCATTAAGAAAAAAGTATCAAATGAACTGATTAAACAAAAAAATGAACTGTTTATGACACTAGCAGACACTCAAGACCAATAAAACGTTCACCTTAGTATGAACTGTGAAGCATGTCTTTATAGTTACAGTATTATGTTTAACTTTAAAATAACTGATGCAAGCCTGGAGCAGTGGCTCCTGCCTGTAATCCCAATACTTTGGGAGGTGGGAGATGGAAATGAGAGGATTGCCCGAGCACAGGGGTTCAAGATCAGCTTGAGCACTTGGTGAGACTTCCTCTCTACAATAAATCAAAAAGTTAGCTGGGGGTAGTGGTGCATACCTGTAGTTCCAGCTACTTGGAAGGCTGAGGCAAAAAGATCTTCTGAGCCCAACTGGTCAAGGCTGCGGTGCCACTGCATTCCAGCCTGGGTGACAGAGTAAGGCTCTGACTGAAAAAAAAGAAGGACTCACTGGGAATGGATTGGAGAAACATTTTGGACAGTCCTGTTGATTGAGTGTGGAGATGAAGTGAAGAGTGCTGACTCAAAGTTAGATGACGCTGTTAACTAAATTAAAAAAAAAAAAATAAGCCGGGCTCGGTGGCTCAGCCTGTAATCCCGCGCCTTTGGGAGGCTGAGGTGAGTGGATTGCCTGAGACCGCGGGTTCGAGACCCACCTGGGCAGCGAGACCTCATCTCTACAATAAATCAAAAAATTAGCTGGGCGTGGTAGCACGCGCCTGTAATTCCGGCTACTTGGAAGGCTGAGGCGGAAGGATCGCCAGAGCCCAGCAGGTCGAGGTTGCGGTGGCCGGGAGCGGCCACTGCACTCCAGTCTGGGCGACAGAGTGAGGCTCCAACTCAAAAAAAAAATAGGGGGCCAGGCGTGGTGGTTCACACCTATAATCCCAGCATTTTGGGAGGGCAAGGTGAGAGTATTGCCTGAGCTCATGATTTCGAGACCAGCCCGGGCAACTTGACGAGACTTCATCTCTACAATAAATCAAAAAATTAGCCAGTGTGGTAGTGCATGCCTGTAGTTCCAGCAACTTGGAAAGCTGAGGCGGAAGGATCACCTGAGTCCAGCAGGTAGAGGTTGCGGTTGGCTGTGAGCGTGCCACTGCACTCCAGCCTGGGTGGCAGAGTGAGACTCTGACTCAAAAATAAAAATAACTAAATTAATTAAAATAAAATAGGAGAGGCACGTTTGGAGAAAATGATAAGACTGTTGTGAATATACTGAACTTGACTTTGGCAGGATCAATGAGATAGTGAAGTCTAGCAGAAGTTGGAAGTTTGAGTCAGGAGCTCACTTAGGAGAGACCCGGGTCAGGAAGGTGAGGTACTCAGCTCGGGTGCAAAATGTTAGGGGGTGTCAAAAAATATTAGGTACTTTATTATATAAAATAATATTTGAATGTAACACTTTTAAAATATCAAAATTGCAGCCGGGTTTGGTGGCTCAGCCTGTAATCCCGTGCCTTTGGGAGGCTGAGGTGAGTGGATTGCCTGAACCCACGGGTTCGAGACCCGCCTGGGCAACTTGGCGAGACCTCATCTCTACCATAAAATCAAAAAATTAGCCAGCCGGGCGTGGTAGCGCGCGCCTGTAGTTCCAGCTACTTGGAAGGCTGAGGCGGAAGGATCGCCGGAGC